TATTAATCAGCATTTTCCAGAGAAACAGAACCAGTAGGGTGGCTGGCTGGCTGGATGATTGGATGAAAAGATATATAAGGGTCTACTATAGAAATTGGCTTGTGAAATTATGGAAGGTGAGAATTCCCACGATATGTCAAGCAAGCTGGAGAGCTAGGAAAGTTAGTAGCCTAGAGCAGTCCAAATCTGTAGGCCTGGAAACTGGGGGGCCATGGTAAAACTCTTAGTGTAAGGCTGAAGGCCTGAGAAGCTGGAAGGCCCCTGGTATAAGTCTCAGATGCTGAAAGCCGAAGAGGCTGGAGTTCTGATAACCAAAGGCAAGAGAAGAAGGCTACCCTTGATCCCCAAAAAGACATTGAATTTTGTCCTATCCGGGCCCTCAACAGATTGGTGCCCACTATGTTGGCTGAGGCAGATCTTTCTTCATTGATTCACATGCCAGTCTCTTCCACAAGCAGCCTTATAGACATAATCAGAAATGCTTTACCAGCTATTTGGATGTCCTTAGCTGAGGCAAATTAACCCCTAAGAGTCTCCATCCCAGGTTATGGCCTTAGACTTTTTATTAATTTTATTTTGCCACATATTTAGCATTAAAGCTTCTTAGTCTCTAATTTCAAGATAGTTTCATAAATGCATTATTCAATTTATATTATCTAATTTGGGATAGTTTAAATGAAATTGGTTTAAGGGCTTTCTTTTTATTTAAATCATAATCTAGTCCAGTGAGAAGTTGTTTGCTCATAAAATAGGTAGAACAAATATGTCTTCTGGACAATTTTCACCATGCGCAAACCTCCCTGTGGTATTTGGAAGTTTTTATTGTTAGGCCAGCCTCAGACCTGGCTATCTGTTTTTCCCAGAACAAGAACACTTGTTCAGTTATTGTCTTCTCAGATCCTAACGTTATGAAACTGATTTCCTTGCTTCCCTGGGCTGTGTTTTTGACATTATGGTACTGAACGACAAGTTAACCATTATCTTTTGGTAAATTTCATGATGCTTTTCTGTTCATATAGGGCCTCATCAGTCAAATTAAATTTTTTCCATCTGGCACCAGTGTCCAAGGTAGATTTATTTTAGAGAGCCTGAAGAAATTGCTGTTTCCAGGCCTCTCATGCTCACAGGCCCTGTGGATACTGGGAGGTGCTGGAAGTAGTGTTCTAAGTGGGGAAGGGAATCCAGTCAGCACAAGAAGCATTTCTAGGTAAGCATCTCTAAAGAGATGTCAAAAGAAAGATCTGAGTTTCCAAGACTCCAGTAATTTATTACGGGTTTCTTTAAATACCAAGTAGATGTCTTTCTGTACCTAAATTTGAATTTGTAATCATGTATCCTTTTCTACAAAGGGGCCCTGAGAGCCATCTAAGCTTCCAAACCCATAAAGCCTACATCTGCCCTAACCAGCGTTGTTTAATCCAGATGACTGTTTCTAAATTCACACTTCATTATGTTTTTAGATAATTTTTGAAGCCACTCGGGGAGTGTCAATAAGAAGTGATATTGCCATTGATGATGTTAAATTTCAGGCAGGACCCTGTGCAGGTAAATAATATTCTTACCACTTACATACACTTAATAAAGAGTTTGAATCTATATAGTTTCAAATTATGAGAATGTAAATTAAATACATTTTCTGTGATTAAAAATAGAAAACACTGTATTGTCTGTCTTTCTCAACAGAGATGGAAGATACAGCTCAACAATCATCAGGATATGCTGAAGATTTAAATGAAATTGATTATTAAGAAGTGATCTAAATTGGATTAACTAAACAAAAGCTATACCTCTCTTCAATCAAAATGGAAACAAATGAATACTGGACAGCCTTAACCATTTCATAAGTTATATAAAATGACTTCACAGCATCCTTTCTCATTCTTTTTTTTTTTTT